CTGCCTCGTGCCCACACTTACTGAAGTATTGGCTCATGTGAGCCTCCTGCCGCGGGGGGGGGAGGGGTCAAGCATCCCAGCAAGGGATGAGCTGCTTACCAGTGTATTCAGGGCAGCATATTGGGCGCAGAAGTAGTCCCAGCATTCACTCTCCGCATATAGTTCGAGATTAGCATATCCAAACTTGTAACCTGGGCAGCAGCAGGAGAGACAGAGAGTGAGTGGTAGGAATGACGGGGAGAAGGCAAGAGCGCCTCTCAGGCTGCAGCGAGGCAGGAGAGAACTAGGTCCAGCTTTCTGCTCTGAAGGAGAGAAGCCCTGCTATGCCGCTGCTCCCCAGGACTCCCCAAGGCAAGGAGGGCGGCCAAAGAGGTGCGCTGCCTCGCCTGGGCCTTATTGTATGGAAAACCCCAGTCCATCCCAGCCTCTCTTACTCTGTCGCATTGCCAGGATCCTGTGGATGTCATGCAGAGCCTCCATAGAATCATGCCTGATGTCCTGATCCTCCTCAGCACAGCAGAGGATGAGGTGCCCCAACAGCTGCCCCACGAGCATCTCAGACTTCTTTTCTAAGAAGCGATTGCTGTCCCCGCTTTCACTGTATCGAGATGAGCTCTGAGGAACGAAGGAAAGGCAGAGGTAGCTGGGTTGAACTGATGCACATGGGACAAAAGCCCTGACCCCCCAGAGCCAGCAGCGGGCTGAGCACCACAGGAGTTGAGAGCCAGCGCTTTGGCCAGCTCTGCCCTGTGCCACGCAGGGGCCTACCCGTGGCAGACCCACATCTAGGAGCACACTGACTGTCTTTGGTGGGAACTGTTGAAGGGTTTTGAGTGGCTGCTGGATTTTGGTGTCTGGGGGATCTGCCCCAGATGTGCTGGTCTTGCAGAGCACAGAGCCCAGAGCTACCAGCTTATTAGGGCACCAGGATGGGACAAGAAGGGGGTTAAATGCTGCTTGTCTCTCCGGCTCCTTACCACTATCAGCGAAGCAGGGACTAGGACCTTGCTCAGGTTGGCAATCCTCTCCATGGCACATTGGCGTACTCTCACCCTCTCAGATTTGGCACAAGGCAGTAGGGCCTGAGAAGACAAAAGCTGCTGGTCAACCACAGATGCGATGGCAGCTCCTGAAGCGGCTGCTCTGCCAGGCACCTGACAAGGTGCCCAGGCTTCCCCTGAACAGAAGAGCCTGGAATGGAGGCCCAGCCTCAGGAATGGCTGCCCCAGTGGAGACCTGCTGAGGTCACCAATCATTATCCCCACCCTCAGCTCCTACAAAATGCCC